CTCCCTCTCTCTCTTTCTCTCGCTAAATCTTCTCCCTTCCGGCGAGAGAAATAAACGTCCCTGTAACAAAACAAGTCAAACAAAATGTGTGAAAATATTTTGCATTAGACCATTCTAAGAAATATACAGACAAACATCAATTTCATAGTTTAAAAAAATACATGCACATTTTAAAAATTATGATGTATTAATTTACACAAATTGCAGATATAATTTTCAAATGGATGAATGTTACAATTGACTATAAGATAATAATTTGTCAATATATTCGAGTTTATAAAATTTTTGTCTTACGTCAAGTATCACATTTCACAGGTCCTGTCCCTGAAAACAATATAGATCTACGCTTTACATAAGAAAATGTCTTTTGGAGAAAAAAAATGTCGATGAATACAAAAACAGTTCTTTTAGTTGTATTATCTGCCAGTGATGCGTGCGTCCCATTTACACGTTATGCTAGTTTACTCATAATATTCATAACCCAATGTATAAATAGAGAGTCTATATGTGTGGGAAAGAGGGTTTTGGACACACAGCAGGGTGTGAAAAGGTAACTGGAGCAGAAGATTGGGGCCAAGGGGGGGGGGGGCGAAAGGGACTGAAGTTGGGGGGGGGACCACCTCTTTTCTAAGGTGAAGACTGATAATTATGTACTTGTTAATTTAAATGAAATACGAGATACCAGTCGTATTAATTATATTTTGGGGGGATTGGGGGGGGGGAGGTGTGTGGAGAGGGGCGATGTCGCATTAAATTGTCCTTTTTTAAATTCACGTCAAATAACTCTAAAACTACAGAATCAGGTATTCGATGACGAGGCAGATCAACTCAATTGGACGTTTTCGTTCTGTATTCGGACATACAATACTAAAAGGATCAGAGAACACTAAATAGTAACAATCAAAGCAGGTGATAAAACCATAAAACAGGTTTACGTGATATGTAATTGATGAAGATGTACATGAATAAAACTGGGTGAAAGCGCTGTCAGTCAACAGTTGTATAGGAAACAAGGAAACAATATACAGTTGATCGTAGCAACACCAAGCGTGGAAACCGAGATAATTGCTGCACCTACAACTGAAACGGCAGCAAATATAGCAGTTGCCACGACAGAAACAACACTGACAACAATTACAATAACAGCAGCAACCACAACAACATTAAAAACAACAACAACAACAACAACAACAACAACAACAACAACAACAACAACAACAATAACAACAAGGAAAATAACAAAAACAACAGCAAAAACAACAAATACAAGGACAACAACGATAATATAATATAACAACAACCAAAAGTATGGTATCAGTATAGCAGCATCTTAAATAACAATAACAGCAAAGTCACATGAGGTGACATTACAGGCTGTCTGTCTGCTGTGTTTTTAAATTTGGAGGAAAAAAAAGGCGCTAGAAACTTTTGACCCAACATAGATTCATGAGAAATTATTTTACAACAACCATTTCATGTCTATCAAGACTAGACATCCATAGGAAGAAAACTGCATGGTAAATGATCGGGGAAATGTCGATCTACCACACCAGTACAACAATAACAACACCAGCCATAACAAATATCACAACAACAAGGACAACAATAACAAATGCAGAATCATCACCTCCAAGCCGGTATGGTGTTAGAGGAAAATTTAATAATAATAAGTGGGAAAACCCCTCTCTATCCTCAGCCAACTGCGTCATATTATACTGGCAAGACAAAATGGCGGTATCCCCACGCGAGACTGCGGCATGTGTGTTGTAAAAAAGTAACTCAAAGCCGAGGCCCGAGGCATGACAAAGTCTTCAACTTGTGACTACTTACTAGTACATACTATGTATGTCACTTGACAGTCCTCGATATCAGCTTTTTGTAGTGAACACCACGTTAGATAAAGAGGGCAAAACTGTGGGCGTAATTGTTTTGCCAAGGATATGACAGAAGCTTCACACCTTATGAATCAGTTGAAGCAGAGGCAGATTCTAGGGGCACTTAATTAGTAAGGAATATTTTTTAATCAGCCTCAGAAATGTGCCATGCGATTATATTTCTCCGGTCAGAAAAACTAAAACAGTTCAATAAAACCTTAGAAAGTAATCAGAAGGAGGTAAAGAATCTAAGGAAAACAAAACCACGCAATTCACCTACCGCCGTCGGTGTTGCAGGAATGGGCACTTGATGAATGTTGCTCGTGGCAGTAAATAGAGACGACGGGTAAACCTCTTTTCGGAGATAACATTGTCAAAGATTTTGAATTATAAGACTGAAAGTATAGCTGTTTGGGTGGACAGTCAGAATGAAACGAGTCATTCAAAATGTATACATGAAATCATTTTTGTGAACGCTCTCAACAAATGAAAAAGAAAGTGACGATGTTTATTTTACCACGTAAAGCCCCGCCCATACTACTAAGAAAATTTCCACACGTTGTACGTCATGCTTCGCACCTGTGCCACAAGTGGAAAATGTCCCAAGTGTGTCGGGGCCTTAGACCAAGGGTTGCCTGATACGAGAAGTTCCACACAAATTTTTTGCTTAAAACTATTCTTTCCCCATGGGGAAATGATGCAATTAAGTGTGCTGCTTTTAACTACACGATAATCCCATGCCTCTAGCTTTTACAATTCTAATCTTCACTTTGACTCTATGTCTGAGAGAAAAGATTTCCGGGGAATGTGCAAAGATGTATTTTTTTTTTAACCCAAACAATTCTAGCACAAAGATTTCAATTTGTTTTCTCGAAAATCATATTAAATCTGTTACGTTACATTTGTTGATTGTACTGCAGCGGATATTTCTGTAGGGGAAGAGAGAGAACAGGAGGGGAGGGACTACTGAAGTTTGCATTTTTACATTTTACGTTGTAATTTTGGATCTCTTTGTAAACTTTTTACCTATCATTTTGCAGAAACTTTAAAGCTTTTTAGAATCATAAACTTGTTTTAAAGAGTCAACCCACAACCCCTGGGCTAAGCTAATACTTCTATCGTCACTTTGGAGATTCAAACAGCTTTAATATTCAGTATTATTGTGCGGTCAAAAATTCGTGGCGCAACTTATTGTCAAATATCTCTTCAACTATAGAGTATATATTCTGCAGCTTTTACACAGTGACTTTTATCATTTTGTCTTAACAGATTAAGAATTTTATGAACACCTGTTAGCTCTATTCTAGAAAATTCTTTAAGAAATACTATTAAAGATCCAAGTTGGTGGTTTCTACTGATTTTTAAAGGTTTAAGGCTGGGGCAATATCGCTTTTAAAACCAAGTCCGCCATTTTTTTTCTAATCGCGAGATTATCTTTATCGAACGCATGATTTGAGAATTATAAGTGCAAGAACATGTTTACTATAAAATTGATTTCTTTTAACTAGTTTTGCCCCTAAAAAGTGCCATTGGTGAGCTGTGACGTAAGCCATACGCGTATGCAAAATGTGAGTGAGAAACTGGAAGTGCTGTGAACAATTGCATTCTCCGCGTGAAGGAGATTTGTAGTATTTTATATGAATTAATGAGAAAAATGTTTTAATCTAGCCACAATTGCTGTGGAAAACTATGATTAAGTTAAGACAAATTGATACAAACTGCTGTACACAATATGGGTGACATCGATTCACCCGTTAAAAAGGTATTTGAGGATAAGTTGCGCCACGAATTTAGAACGGACTATAGATATCATAATATCTCTCTCACCGTGCAAGCCTTGCAGTTTCACGTCATGTGCCTATCATGAGTGACGAGCAGAGGGCGCCCAAACTGTCTGTCTCCTCGAATAAGTCTGTCGAACTTAAAAACTCACCTGACGTCGTTTCTGAATGCGAAATATTGAATAGACTCACCTCAGCAAAATCATCATCATCTTCAGAAACTACGCCCCTTCTGCTGAGACCGGCTAACTCACCTTCATCATCATCATCATAATATTCCTGATTCATTCGCTTCTTAGACGTAATAAGATACCGCGCGCAGTAGTTGGTGACTACATCGGAGATGAACTTATCGTCAACGACACTGGATAGAGGGGACAAGTTGAGAAGGGAAGAAGGGACGTCGATTGCGTTCAGAGTGCCATTCTCCGGTGTATTAGAGCTTTCGTTGGCAACACCCGTACCGCTGTAGGACACGGAGCTAAGGTCGTTGACCAGTCGGGTCAGAGCTAAACTAAAGGCTCCCCCACCAGCTCTGCCGGACTTCCCCCACGAAAACATTGGAGAAAAAAATGAAGAACCATCATCGCTGCTTCGTTCTCCCCCGAACCCTGAAAAAGAGGAAGGGTCGAAATTTCCGAAAAAGTTAGAAGAGCCCCTTGACTGATCGCTACTGCCGGTGGAGAATGGGTCGAATCCCGTGCCGGGATCGAACATTGAGAACGTCCCTGAACCATCGCCTGATGAAGAAGATGATCCGAAATTCGGATTAAATTGTGGCATAAACTGATTTGATTGGGAGTTTCCGAAGTTGGAAGAATCTCCCGTGAGAGAGTTGCCACTCGAGAAAGGGTCAAACGAGTTCATGTTCTGGGTAAAAGGATTTCCGGCACCGCCCCCTCCGCTGAAAGGTGAACCGGATGAAGAAGAACCGAATGGGGAACCGCTGGAACCGGAAAACGATGGTTGCCCTGCGTTCATAGCAGACATGAAGGGAGAACCCATAACACCTCCTCCACCTCCACTTCCTCCCCCTCCCCCACCCGCAGGACCTCCGCCATTTTGAGGTTGGTTAAAAGGTGAGCCCGTACCCGGAAATCCGTTTCCCCCTGAGGCTGGGCCCCCTCCACCTCCCCCAGGCCCACCGGTTCCACCTCCTCCGGGCCCCCCACCGTTTTGAGACTGACTCATCGGCGATCCCGTACCCGGATAACCGGCTCCCTGACCACCACCCGGGTTACCTCCGCCGGTGTTGGACGGGTCTCCGTTCCCAGAACCGAAGTTGAATAAGGCGCCACTGCTCGGCACACTTACCTGCCCCCCTCCACCGAGACTTATCCCGCTGATGGGAGCCCCACCATTTGTGAAAATATTACCACTGTTGGAGGAAGGTCCAGAGTTGACGCCGCTGGGACCACCTGCCATGGCGGGGCTGTTCTCCATAGGGTTGGACTGTCCCGAACCACTGAGGAACTGAGGGATACTGAAAGGCGATCCGACAGAACCGGTACTGGAAGCATCCGTATATCCGGATGTTTCCGCGTCCAGCATCTCCTGCAAACTGACAACCCTGGTGAAATTCATCAACGCCTCCTGACCGAGGAGAGACCCACCTGCATTTGACGCTCCTCCGCCATTGGCCACGCTAGAAGCCACGCCCATATTCACGCCTCCATTAGAAGCTCCTCCTCCCATACTCGAAGCCACGCCCATATTCACACCACCGTTGGAAGCTCCGCCTCCTAGATTCGAAGCCACGCCCATACCCATATCCACACCGCCACCATTTGAAGACCCGCCTCCCATATTGAAACCACTTAGCCCCCCTCCTCCTCCTCCTCCTCCCATTCCCTGTTGCCCTCCAAATCCAGTCCCGCCCCCTACACTACCCTGAGAGCCTCCAAAACCCGGACTGCCGCTAAAGCTAAACATACCACCGTCGGTGTTCCCAAATCCGCTACCACCCGTACCACCCATACCACCCATTCCACCCATACCACCCATACCACCTCCTGCTCCCCTTCCATCCGTATTTTGAGAACCGCCAAAACCTGGACTAGAAAAACCTGGATTGGTCATACCGCTAAACTTCCAAGCATCGTTATTTTCGCTGAGGCCGCCGTTAAACTGAAACTGAACGTTTGACGTCATCATGGACGCCGCTTGACCCATGGCGTTCGATCCAGCACCTCCTCCTGACGACGATGACCCCCACGGGGAGGAAGAACCTCCACTAGAAGAGCCACTTCCCTGCATTGGGAACGAACCCCCGCCCCCCGTACCGCCCTGATTGCCCGCGTTACTAGCCACACCAGCAGACGCTGCTCCACCAACGCCCTGGGCTTCCCCAAACCCTGCGCCACTCTTAGACCCGAGGCTATTTTGAGCTTGCTCAAATTTGAAAAATAACCCCGCGGCATTGTCGCCCGTGTTACCCTGCGACCCGCCAAATCCTGGGGCCATTCCAAACATCCCACCTCCTCCACCCCCTGAACCCATCTGACCGCCGAAGCTGCTTCCAGAACTACCTGCAGCCCCAGAGGTCCCACTAAACGAGTTGGAGCCTTGGCCAATTCCAGGGACACTATTTCCTTGTTGACCATTATCCATACCCCCTGCACCGTTTGCCGCACCGACGTTAGCGAATCCTTGAGCTCCAGAGCCAGAGAATCCTTCCGCGCCGTTTCCCGCTGCTCCAGAAGCAGAAGTCATGCCGCCGGAATTTGCATTCGTTCCGGAAGATCCGTCAAAACCGGACATGCCGAAAGAAAACATTCCGTTCAGAGAGGAGGAGCTCCCTCCTCCTTGCAGGAACCCGTTTGTCACGTCCCCTCCTTGAGGTTGCACAAACGAGGAACTCGATCCACCACCTCCTCCTCCTCCTCCTCCTTGACCCTGTCCTGTAAAACCGTTGGTAGAGAATCCGCCAGAGTTGACATTTCCGTTTCCAGCAGAACTTGACCCCCCGAAAGTGGCCATCTGTGCTGTACCTCCTGAAGAGCCTTGCGTCAACTGTTGGGCGGACACGTTCTTCCACAGGCTGTAGGAGAAGGAGCCGAGCTGTGATGAGGAGCTGCTGGTTCCAGAAGAAGCACCCCATGGGTTGGAGGATGACGACGACGAGGACGACGAAGACGACGATGAAGATGACGATGATACTGGCAAAGAGATACTGGGTTCTCCCTGTCCCCAGGCGCTGGTGCCGGAGTCTCCACTGACAGAAGCTGTGCCTGAGTCTACGGACGGTGTCTGTGGAAAAGAATGTTGTTTTAGTAGAGGTTTTACGGCGCTCGCAACTGCATAAGGTCATATGAGCGCCATCTGAAAGGAATAAAATATTGATAGTATTATCATTATCAATAGATTCATATATTATGATTATCATATTATCAGTACTAACCAGCAATGTCATGCTTGTAATGTTCTGGGTGGTGTAAAAATGAGTATTTTGTATTATTTCACAAGTATGTTTGTTAGTTTAATCATGTATCTATGTATGTATGTTTGCTGCTGCAGTCCCCATTTCCCTCATTGTGATCTGTAAATTTTATTTCAATTTATTTATCTATTCTTTCACTTATATAATAATAACAATGAATATGAAGACAACAATAATGATAAAAATTTGAATAATAATATCAAAGACAATAATGATAATAACAATAATGATAATAATAATAATAATAATAATAATAATAATAATAATAATAATATGATTATAATAATAATAATAATAATAACAATAATGATTATAATAATAATAATGACAGTAATAATAATAATAACAATAAGTGCATTCCTATAGCGCATATTCATGCTCTGTAGCATGATCTCTATGCGCTTTA